TACAGCCTTTTGCACAAATTATGAGACATTTTTATATATATAAATATACCTAACCAAATATCAAAAACACCCAAGAAATTATGGGATACCGTCGCTGATATTTTGTCATGATTGCCTAGCATCAGGTTGTTACACTGTGGAAAATCTAGTCCAATCACATTGTCCGCTTGAAAACAATCAAAGAGACTAAGGAACAAAGAGCGAGGACAACCTACAATCATGCTCTGCTCAAGAAAATGGCGCTTTGCACGGCCTACTTGACAGTTTGCTGGTCTAATTTGAAGATTCCAGCATTGACCAAGTAAGCCAGGAGAATCATTGACCATTTGTTAGTGGCACTAACGAAGTTTCAATATCTTATAATTTTATTCACTTTTAAAAGTTTTATTACAAAAACAGTGTCAATATTTTATGTGACGTGTCAATCGTGGATTACCTGTGGTGGCCCATTCCTACACAGGAAAACTTCACCACAGGCAACCCATAATAAAGTGAAATCTAAGAGACTTTGGTTTGTGTGAGCAAAACCGACGGAATACCATAAACAACTGTATTGAACCAATGACGAGGGGGATCGACCGGCGGTCGACGTTCAAGTTGAGCCGTTCTCATGGGCGCGTTGCTGTTTCTTCGTCCTTCTGCACCCTTGGAGCCTTTTTCTGATGTGCTCTCGGTGTCTTGGTCGGGTTGTGGGATCTCGGGGAATTCAATCACCGAGCGAGCCGCCTGACCGACTGTCTTGGTTTCCTCGAGAAGGACTGGAATTGTACAAACGTAGGGACTCAGTAACCAGATATTTTAGAATCCGTAACGTACTCTCTACGGATTCTTAAAAAGTACGTACTATCGCKGCGTTTTTTTGACATGAAGACCGTGTATTTAAACTGAAGCATACGGACTCAAAGTATAAGCAAATTCACTCCTTATGGTGAATACTATGGTTCAAAATGTTGCGTAAATGTTAAGTAAACGTAAGATGGAACCGGAAAGACAACTTGCGAATTCAAGAACATACGGATGGAGCCGAACGTCCAGCTACACTAGAGAATTTTGCAATGCGATTATTGCGGAAAAACAGGAGGCCATTTCGACACTTAAAAACCGCAAGTTATCAGAGTGATTATCGAAGATTTTTCAAAGGAGCGCGAGATTCTTTGCTACTATGAATTAGAACAACAGATTTTTAACACTGAGGCGACTATCACACAGAAAATTGATTGTCGCATTTAAACCAAAGATAGCAATTGATTGCAAGTACCGACCCTCAGAATGATAATTTCTAGTTAAGCGCATACCTGTGAAATACTTCGTCAGGTTRTCCTTGATGTCCTGTAGTTGTCCATACCAGCTATTGGTAACAACACATCCCACACCAGCTAAGGATAACAACATGGCCGACTCCAAAGGGTTCTCCATTGCGATGGCATTAACACTAAACAAAACATAAGGCTTGTTATGAAGAAAACTTTGAGAACCAGAATAGAATGGAATGAGTGTACATACGTCTTTCCTGCATCCGCTCGACTTTGCCTCGGAAAACTTTTACTTGTGTGAACAAGATCCATGATAAAGGCGACGTTGCAATCTGAAACATACATGGCACCTATTATAAAACCTTATCTTATGGTATTATCACTGTGAAGCCATCCAGGTGTTTCAGAAAAGCTTTTAAGTTGTTGGAATTTTTTCCTAAGCGTGGCCTGAGGCCCTTTTAAGTATTAATTCTGGTCTGATGGTCGTTTCTACTTATGACGTCATGTTTGTCAGGTCGAAGTGCATGATGGTTCTGATAGTAATATCAAGATGGCGGACGGCATTGAAAAAATACATAATTAGAGATTTCTTTGCAAACTTAACGTTGTTCGTTGTCAAAAATTCTTTAGAAAACCATTATAAATAGTATGGATGCACAATATAGTATACTCAAAGGTCTGTTGAGAAATGACTAGTGCTTGTTTCTGAAAAAAAGAACAATACGGCTCCAGTTTGTACTTTCTTCAATCCCATGGTACATTTCGCCGACATTGTTAGTGGAAAGGACAACTTTACATCGACAATCCGGTGCCGTGTGGATATATAGTCATGGGAACGTACCAGCAAGGTTCATTGGAGCAAGCATATGTGGCGGCAGGCAACCAAGACATCTCTCAGGWCCGTAGAACACAAATGCAGAGCTTTCTAGAAGCAGTCTTTGACATTCCCCAATGCTGAATAACAGAATAAWCATGAGTTAGTAAATCAATTCGTCGTCAATGGCCCTTTGACAGCACAGCGCTTCTGTTTATGTTACTAAAGTAAAATATATCTTAAAATTAACAAAATCTTACTTTTAATTCACAGAACGTACTCTCAAAAGCAAAATATTGTGAGATATCTTCTTAATACCGACGGATGGAAATGGATTTAAAATGACATTCGACCTCATCTCAAATGACTAATTATTCGTATATGAATAAATCAAGCACGACCGCAGTGCATGCTGATAGGCTATGWCCTTTTAAGGTAACGAATAAGTTGTCCTTACCTTGGTAGGTGTTCTGTACCCATGACACCYGCCCATTTGCCAGTGAGATTYTTAYATTTAGCGATTAGATCTGTCATCACTTTAACTGGACTATCAGCCTCATCTGGAAAGAGAATTTTAAGTACAGTCAACTCTTGTATAACGACACCTGATCAACCGTAATAGCGAGGTGCCCACTTGAAAGAAAAAAATCACTCTAGTATAGATGAGACGAAATAGAGTTCTGGTGATCCACAATGTCGTATATAGCACTAAAAATAAATAAAATAAAATTACCTTCATTATCACATTCATCATAGAGATCCACGATATCTGAAGAAAAGCGTTAAGAACCAAAGCTATATTCTTGAGCATGAATAAAATATTCGCAGTGATGAATCCCCTAGTAGTCATAGCGCATCGTTACACTAGTTCAGTAGCCTGCGTAGCGTCTCTCTTTGGATCCCTGTGGTGCTACGAAGGCTACCAGTTCAGTGATTGATATTGTGATGGCTATACCAGTAGGCATTACACACCCTCCCGCCAACTTTGAAACCGAAGAGTGATTTTCTGCAGACGGTGAAAATGACTTCCATGTTTGCATCAGTTGACAAAGAACAAAGAAAGCAATGAGTGTAGAGTCTCCTTCTTAAGTCCCGTTTAAACTTACGATTTCTGCAGCGCGATAATCGCCACTTTGCTCTCGCTCAACTCAAATCGTACGTGTAAACAGCCCTGCGATTGTTGCGGCGATAAAAGATGTCCGCGAAGTTGTAGCCAATTTTCAAGCATGTTCGAAACTCAGGCAATGGTCGCGCGACGATCGCTTCGAGAATCGCTCTGCAAAAATCGAAGGTGTAAACTATTCGACTACTTCAAAAATTATTTTGACAAGGATACATCGTACAGCGTTGATGTCAACMACGGGACCTTCTTTAGGAATACCCGCCAAACTATCCTTTCCTCCCTACAAATCATTTTGAGAAAAATGCATGAATACAGGCAACAAAAAGAAGAACTAACATATTTTAGGGAATGGCGCCGCTGTACAACGCCTATTCAACGCTTTGCTACCTTCTTATCGCTGGGTTTAGACTTTGCTGTTGATGGTTTTTCAGGTTTTCCCTTGTCACCAGCCTTCTTTCCACCGCCCTTTTTATTGTCATTCTTGCCGTCTCCATCTAATACCAAAAACAACCGTTAGTACGACAGAATTCATAAAACTAAATCCGTGAGACGGAACAGAGCTCTCTTCACCAGACTCTCACCCAGTCGTTTCTTTTCCTCATTTTACGGGAAGCGTTGCATCAAGGGAAGTCTGAACTACCAGGACTTCCCTCGATCCTTTGCGCGCGTCAGAGAAAAATGAAGAGTAAAGACTGGGTACGAGTCTGTTTCTTCATGATAAATAGAAAGCCATGATGTCACACAATACTAACCGTCAGGGTGATGGAGTCTATGGTACAAGAACTGTARCGAGAAGTCTCGACTAAACGACGTGACACGAGGTACTAGGAACGTCTTGAGACACTCTACAGGAAGATGCTGAATGTAATCATCGGCCAAAAGAACCACCGTATCAGATATGATRTCTGGACTGTATCAGGAAAAATATAAATTGTTTGAATATGTGGCGGATTTTATTCACCCATGAAAAGAAAGAGCAATTCTTGGTGTGCAAGTTACGTCATCACCGCCATGTTGGATAAAAATCACAAAGCATTCCTCATTAGTTTCTCTTGTTCATTCATCCAACATGAAGGCGATAGCTTTGTTCTTYATTTCTCAAGGGATTCCTGGTCATGTGGTTGCACACCAAGAATAGGCGAAGCGTAATAACGTTTGATAAGGAAAAAAGGAAAAGAAAAAAGACAAAGAAAAATTAGCAGAATTTAGAGTACTAAAGTGTAGAACTCTAACTTCTGCTTATTTACAGCTGCTTCTGAGTGCAAGACAAGAGTCGTTTGCTCTCTCGGAGTCTAAATACACCGATTTGTCCCACAGATGGGACTGCATTCCCAATAAATTCAAAGATAAGCTAGCTTACCTGAGTGCAAGCTGAAGTTTGGTTAATACCGGGTCGAGATATGCCTCCATAGCCGCGACAACATTATGAAAATGAGCCTACAGTAAATATGAAAAGCGGTGAGGTAATGACTTTGTAGCCTTATATGGAGACATGATTTGGTAAATGAATAAATGGAAGGAGGAAAGATGKGATGGAGGAATATATCAATAAAAAACGTCCGAGACAAAAATAATCTCCTTATTACAATTCTCTGTGCCTTGATAGTTAACAGCACCATTACGTAAAGGTAAGACGACCTAGTTGACTTTGCAATGAGAAATACCTGATAAATTATTGTCTATATATGTAAATAAATCATTGCAAGCTCGCCAGTCGTCTCGCTTTGGTGTAAAGTCTCTCTACCTTTCAAGGTGTTGCAGAATGACTAACAAGTTGATTTATGCACAGTACCTCAAGTCTACTTTCCTGGTCAGCAATGTTTGTTTCTGATTGAACTTTCATCTTAAAAATCCAAAACAACAAATGGTCATGAAATGAAATAAACCTCCGTGCACCCCATCCCTTTGATTTGCCCTAGAAGATGTGCAGTCAACATGTGCCACTCAAGAGACATAAACATTTGTACACCCCTAGCACCGCYCATCTTCTCGATTTGCCCTAGCATATGTGCAACTTGCAACGCCCATCCCCTTGATTAGCTCTAAAGTATGTACAGTCAAACAAAGAAATACAAGGGATTCGTACCTCTGAAATMGCATCCAAATTATCCTCCATTCGTCCCAACATTTTAGTTTGTTGTTCACGTTGACGCCGAATATAATTTCGYCTCATCAATTCTGAGGACGTTTCACTTTTAAAATGTTGGAATTCTTCGATTAGATTATCCAAGTCTTTAGGATTAACCATGGCACGTGTAATGATAGCTTTTGAAGGAGCTGGGGCACCACCTGTTTGTTTGTTGGGCTTGCCGCTTTGTGTAGCYGATCGTCCTTTGTCCAGCACAGCACCATATAAGTATTTCCTGGAAWATAAGACTTACTGGTCAATTTGTCTGTAAGTCACATCAGCGTACGTCAATAGCCGACTTTAGATATTTTGGTTCAGTGACCATGCACAGAAGAATTGTAGACGAGGCTCCGGGGAAATAAAAGAATAAATCAAGATAATCCATTGTTTTCCCGGAGCCTCGTGTGCTCCTCAGAAGTGGAAGCTGTTCACCAGTACATTTGTTTCATTAAAACAAAGCTAAGACTATATTCTGATCAATAAACATAGTCGTTTACAAAGCATTTACGCGTGAAATATACACATCGTTCAAGGGTTTAGTACCTGTCAGGTGAATGCTGCAGCACGACAAATTGCATGCTGGTAACAGAGAATTCTTTAGTAAGTTGAAGATGTGCCTCCATGATTGATAATCGTCTCCATGACTGATTAAAAAAAGGAAAAAAAGTATAGTTCCTTGATCTTAGTAGACGCCAATCAAATATGATCATATACTCTGTGACGAAGCCTTTATTAATAATACAGCTCTGATTATCACTCAACAAAATGTTTATGATCACATACTCGTCCCCAGAGCACCTCGGTAAGAGGAAGACTATTGAATGACGGAAGTGCTCTGGGGACGATTAAAATATGATCACATGGTATTTCACAGCATGCGCATGCGTAGTACCTCACAATGATCTCCAAGATGACTAAGGTTGGAAGACAGAACGGTCGATGATTGGTCCGATAGGTATTCAATATCGCACAATATCTTCCTCTGACGTAACAGGGCTGCTTGTCTTGATAGTGATGGGTCTGCTTGAGCGCTGTACAAGACATTTTCTAGACATTGGGACATATAGCAGCTCTGTATATAACAAAAAGATAA